ATATAATTATATCATTTGTATTAATGAACACAATTTGTGTCGATGAATACAATTGATCAAATGTAAATTGTCATAATATAATTAGTATAGTATACGTATACAAATATACATAATATAAACTACAAATAATATGAAGTACAAATATATTTGATTTATTATACAAAATACAATTTTTATGTGGATTAATTTTTGGATTGCAACTATTTAGCTAGAGAGAGAGAGAGAGGGGGGAGGTGGGTTATGAGAGGAGAGAGGCATGGGAGAGAATTTTGCTAAGACTTCTTGTATATATATCTACAATAATTGTAAATATTGGGATTTAACGCAAATAGATATCAAATGTGACATATTGTGTAAGTTTTTTTATTTGTGAAAATGTTAAATCGATAATTAAATTAATAAATATTTATTATTAATTTTCAATTAATTTATTAACAATTCTTAACGTTTCAATTTAATCGATAAAGAAATATTCTCCTAATTTTTTTTCCCTCTTTGTTATTTTTATTTGTTAATAATATATGTTACCTTTATTGAGCACACGTCTATAAGCAATGGTGTAAATTACAAGTAGAATTTTAATTTTATATTTAGCACGAGAAAAGGTCATATATACCTTTCTACTCTCATAATAGATTATACATGTCGTTCGTTATATTTTTTTTATATATTTATCATTGTCATCCAACATTAAGATACATATTTATCCTTAGACGATTAAGTCTCATATCTCCAATTTATCATCCTATATGGCATCTACATGACGCCTACACAAATATTTATATTTATTCTACATTATTTTTTTAAATAAAATTTGATTATAATATAACTCAATATTACAATCAACCATTTAACCCATTAATCACAACTCTTCATTTTTATTGTACTATCACGCACCAAAAAAAAAATGACAATTAAATTTGCTTAATTGAACAAGAATTCATTGAACCCAACCGATGAAATTAGAGTCAATAAAATATATCTCAAAAAGGATTCATTAATGTTATGCTTTTTTTTTATATATATATGTAATTTTCTTCGAGCATGTGAAAATGGTTTTTATCAAATTTAAAATGTCCATGTAAGTTGTTGTTTTCGTACAATTCTAATGTCTATTTTCAAGTTGGTAACATTTTTTTTCCTGTGTTGTTTCATTCTTCTATTTAACAGAATTATAGTTATTTATTTATTTATAGTTCTAATGTTTGCATCTAGGAACTCTTTTATTTTTGAGTATCATCTATGAACAATAAGCCACATAATTGTCTATATCTTGTTTTTATAAGTGAAAGAATTCTTCATAACCAAGAAATAAATGAATTTTAAAATCTGTTGTATGCATTTTTGCATCATTAAAAAAAAATGTTAATATTTCGGTGGGATAAATGAAATATTGTTCAACTAATTAAGCAGATCTATTTGTTATTTTCTTGTGTGAATGTGACAATGAGAGTTGGGTTTAATGGATGAGCATAATATTGAATAGGATGATATAATTATTTTTTTTAATAAATGTAAATATCTATGTAGGCATGCTATGGAAGTGCCATGTAAATGTCACATAGAATGATAAAAGTGGAGACACGAGACTTGATGGATCAAGGACAAGTATGTATCTTAAATTGAATGGCAAGAATAAATATATCAAAAAAATATAACAAAAGATAAATATAACACTTTTTCGAAAGAAAGGCAAATATGATCCTTTTCTGTATTTAGTATAAGTTGCTCATAAAATTTTGCTATGATTGAAAATTTTGTCAAGTTCAAAGTTATGGGTGTTGTTCATCTTGTATTCCAAACATACTTAGAACAAAACTTTGAACATCTTTGTAAGAAAACAAAGTTTAAGAACATTTTCACAACTAGAAAATTAAAACTAGTAGTGAAACTAGAATCAGAAACAGATTTAAAAAAAAAATATACGAAATATTTTTCTTAAAGAGGAATTGTTGTTAATATGTGTCTAAAGAATCTTACTGATTCCAACAAACTTTGCAGAAACACAAAGTTACCAAGTTTAATGAACCAGTGAAGAATAGAAGAATAGAAGAACTGAAATTAATTCACAAATCTAAAA